AAAAAAATTGGCTTTATCCCTCTCAATAAATAAATCATACTGATTTGTGGTTTATTTCCTTTTATACTGAAAAATAATATCATGGCTAAATAAAATTTGTTTAGCCATGATTAATATACAATGCTATACTGCTATAGTATATTTTTTGTTAAAATAAAGTTAACTTAGAACTATGATAGGRGGGCAAAAAGACACTATTACCCACTCAGCAAAATATTTAAGGGGGCAGTTTCTCCGTCTTGCCTCCCCTAGATGAATATGAATATAAATATTGATTATTGTAATAATTGCAGGAGTGAATAATTAATTTAAATCGACTAAAAGTATACGAAACAAACAACAATAATTTCAYAAAATATAAAATACATCCAATCTTCAGCACTTAAATATTTTCATCCACATTTACGTAGGTACCGTTTATTTATTGTTTTCGAATTAAACATGCGCCGCAAGCCATTTTTGGATAATAATACCAATATAGGTGCTTACCTATGTTAAATGTAATATTGCGTACCTAAATAGCGTGCTTAATTCTATTTTGTTGTACAATATTATAAATTGTAATATATATTCTATATTAAATTCTAATGTAGAATGTTACGTGAGGATGTAATAACTGCAGCCAGCTGGCATTGGCGGCGGTGGCTAAAACGTGAACAATTATTATTGCGAACTCGTGATATACTACTTTTGTTTGTTTGTGTGTGTAGTATTAAAAATAATAATGTATATACGTATGGGGGAAGTCAACGCGTTTGCAAACTAGAGTAAAAGGAACACCGCCTCTGAACTGACTGAACTACATCGTGATCACGCTAACGTGAATCAGTCATGCTTTGAACGCTGTTCTCGTACAGACTTGTTTTTCCTCGCGCAACTGACCGGTGTTTTTCAAAATATAATAATATATGATATTGATATCTTCACTAAATACTATTTTTAATATACAATTTAATTTTGTACCTACRATGATTATATAGATTTCACAAACCAAATATATATAAGACACAGTACATTTTAAATTTAAATCAAAATTTACAACAGTTCGGATGTCATAAGTATAAGTATAGTGGAATGATAAATTAATAATTATAGTTCTTAAATGCCATTATTCAAATGTTCTGTTATATTGTGAAGTATCTGCAGGTACGTGACTATAACCATAATACTTATTCTGTTATTTGAATTATTTAATTTTAAGACGTTTACCGTGTAGATTAGGTACACTTAAGTAGGTTGGTATATTACATTTATACATTTTCTAGTTATTTTATTTTACTTACATATTACAACTTCAGTACCTACCAGATAACTATAGCATAGGTAATCACTAATCAGTACATCAGCGATTGCCGATTTATTATAGTCCATAATAAGTCTAGACTCTTTAATAATGATGAATTATTACTATTACTATTATTAAACTATATTCTATATACTACACGTGTTTTTAAATTTAATTTTAATTTTCCACTTGTTAATAAGTTATTAATTGGATAATAGATAAATACTTACAGTATTTTAAGTTAAGGTACCCTAAGTGGATATTGTGGCATTACACAAATTTAGTAGTGGTTAATTTATTTAAAATATAAGATGTCAGTTAAAAATTATAAATAGCACCTACTAAATAATTTCTTAGACAAATATAAGGATAAAGAATTATAGGTCAAATAATTTTTTTCTTTTTATTGATCTTATAAACTCGGCAACTATAGCCATTATAGTTACAATTTAATTTGGGTTACAGTATTTACAGTTTTAACAAATATTTTTTTTTAGATAATACAACATTAAAAGTGAAGTTAATATAATTACTTTGTACCTATATAAAACTAATATAAAATTTTATAATTTTATTTWATTTAATTTTTAAAGTTTTTACTATTAAACATTTTTATCACCGGACTGTAAGCCTGTAACTCTACACCTATAKATAAGTAGTATGTATATTAATAAATTGATATACAGTTCGAACATAATTATACATGTAAATGTCACT